CCTGTGAAGACGGAGCCCGGGATCGCTGGCGACGAGAAGGAGGCGCTCGACGACGTAGCGGCTTTGAAGTGGGCGTGCGACGACTGGGCGCGGACGGAGATGGAGCGCCAGCGCCGCGCCTATGAAGAGCTCGCCGCACGGCATAGGCGAGGGCGTGACGAGGAAGGCGTCATCGTCCTCGACGACAACAGCGACGACGGCGCACCACCGGCACCGGTCCGCCAGGGCGACGCCGGCCCGGGGTCCAGCAGGGGCGGCGTCCGCGTCAAGGAGGAGAAGGCCGGCGACGATGACAGTGACTTCGCCAAGCTCACCGCGTTCTTCGCGCCGTAGAATGATTAAATTTGTTTATGTAATAAAAACTATGCTATAAAATGTCATTTTCGCAGAACTTTAGCCGAATTCCTATTTTGTATAAAAATATGTCATCTTCTGAGGACGACCCTGGGGCCGGCGGCTGGGGGCCCGAAAGCCCCCAATGCCAATTTTAGCGCCGGTACGCCCTCAAGTGGTGATTTTAAACGCCTTCTGGGAGGCCAATGGCTGGAGATGCTCTGAGCTTGAGCTCATATTCAAAATCCTCCAAAAATTAGTAAAAAGACACACTACTCCGTATATGAAAGTGCATGCTTTAATAAAATTATTTTCATGTAGAATTTCAATTCCATGAGATTCTTCCCCGACACCACCTTTCTCCATACATAGAATTTACTATCGTGTGCCCTCCCTCCGTCAAGGTGTGTTTGGGGTTACGTACGCAGGCACGGTTCCCGTCGGAACCAACCCTCTGGTGTGTCCTCCGCTGTTGTTGCGTCCGTGGGGAGCAAGAGGGTGGTGTCATGCACGGACCTGGCTCAGGGGAGCAGCTGCTGGCAGTTGGGCAACAGATCCCTCTCTCTCTCTCTCTCTCCCATCACTCCCTGGGTTTGCCCATGCAGTGATGATGCGCGCGCGGGGACGAGGCAGGGATTCTCTGCAGCACCAAGCCTAGAGCAGATAGATGCCTGCTCCCGAGCTGGTATGCATCGCCATAAAGGAAGGGTCCTTGAGCTTATCCAGCTGCTCGATCGACCGATCATCACGGCCCGGGACCGGGACCCTTGGCTCGAGCTGGATTCGGTCCTCCCTCCCACCCACTCGCGCACTGCCTGGGCTAGACACGCAACAAGTTGTAGCAAAAACCGACAGTCGGTGCAGTGCAGTGCCCGTTCCGATCGCTGTCAGCCTCTCTAGCCCGCTAGGCTCCGGCCACTTTATCTAACTGTGGCGCGCAATCCGTAACAGTCCCGTTCCCCCCAGGCCGCTGGCTAGGCTAGGGCTAGCCAACCAACCAATTATCGTCTTTACAGTCAGATCGCAATGGAAAATATAATTGTGCCCGTTGGCCAGTGGCCTGCACCCATGGGTCGACGCCGATGCAGATGCGTCCCTACCTTGAGCAATAACCCAGGGAAGCCTCTCGAGTCGCCTGCAGAGGCAGATCGAGCGGGCGGGCTTTGGTTTTTCCTTGACCACCGCTCGCGGCGTGACGTGCCGACGACATGGGCACGGTGCTGCGCATGTCGGCATGGTCGCCGTCGAACGTCGTCCCGTCGGAATCCCATGCTGCTACTACGACGCTACAACGGATGGATCGATCAGGCGACGGAGTCATCGTCGTCGCCGGGGAGATCCCTATTCCAACGCAGGAGACACGCTCGGCCGGCGCGGCGCTAGCTGTGTGGCACGAGTACGTGGTGACGGTGCAACTTGTTGCGCGAATCGAGCGCCCCGAAAGCAACATGCTTTGACATAACGCATGCCGGTCGAGAGGGCGGCGCTTGTTTTTCCTGCCCGTGCCCGGGTCAATGAAAATGGGTGCGTGCTCACCTCAATGGGTCTAGACTTTCAAACCTTGACTCAACAATGAACATGCCACTGCTAGCTAGTAGTACTCCCTCCGGTCCTTTTTAGTTCGCATATAAGATTTAACTGAAGTCAAGCCTCGTAAAGTTTGACCAACTTTATAGAAAAAAGTATCAACATTCACAATCTGAAATCAATATCAATAGATGTGTCATAACTTAAAGTTTCATATTGTATAACTTTAGCATGGCAGATGTTGATATTTTTTCATATAAATACGGTCAAACTTTGTGAAGTTTGACTTTAGAGAATTCTAATATGCAGAGTAAAAAGGACGGAGGGAGTACTAGCTTGCAAACGGCATGACTGCCTGTCCGGAAAAACAAGGATTTCTTCTGCGGCCCATGATCATTCGGGAGAGGAAAACCCGGAAATCTGAGCCTTGGTCGTGCGTGCATGAGGGTTACGCTGGCAGGCGCTGAACGCCACAGTGCCCACACGCACACATCCAGTGGCACGCATACGCCCGACCCTGCAGCAGTGCAGTGCAGCACAGCAGGGAGGGCCACTATTATAGCCATCGAGCCAGCCAGCCAGCCAGCCCGGCCGGCCATGTTGTTGGCGACGAGATGCATGGGCGACAGGCTACGTCGCATCATTCACTCTGGGCCTCCCCTTTACCTGCACTGCATAGCACTGTTGCAGAGAGCGCATGCAAATCCCCGCCCTGCATGCTCAGGCTCCGTTCGGTACGCAGGAATCTCACAGGAACTTTTGAAGGATCAGTTTCCTTAGTAACTTCTACCTGCAGTGCGTTCGTTTCACAGAAATCTGGTATTCTGTTCCAGTGGAAAGTCACGTGAACCTGTACTTTTCACAGGAAACGAAAAATCCACCGGAACCTTATGTTCTGACCGAGACGCGAGGCTAAGCTCTTGCTATAGTGTGGTCCAGCCGAATAAACAATGGCTGCATGGGAGGTCATCACGTCTAGAGACAATAAAAAACTCTAATCAGCTGTGAGAACGCCCATCTCTTCATCGTACTCCAAGGGCTCCATTTCCTGCACACCGAACAGGTCACAAGGCTCCATAGGCTCGCTCTAGTCACTCGACTCTATTTCTGTGCAGTTACTTATTCCTTCATTTTTTCTGCCTCCAAACCAAACGGAGCCTCACCCGGAGCGGAGGCGAGCCCGTCCGATCGGCCATGCACACCGGGCAGCGGTGCCTGGCGCGAACGACGGGTCGACACGTATGCCCGCCGCTGGCCCCTGCGCACAGGAAGACCAAGCGTGAAGCAAGCCCTGCCGCTGCAACAACCAGCACAACGGATGAGATTGGACCACCGGGTACAGAGGCAGCGGCAGCGGCAGCGGCACGGCAAATATCCACCGCTCGTGAGCCAAAGACAGGGAGGCGCCCGCCGGGGAGCGTCAGATTCCGGTGCCCCGCGCCAGCGCTCGCCGTCATCATCACGGTGGTGCTGCCTCCAACGACTTGGGCAACGACCCAGCGTCGTCCATCATTGCCGCCAAAAATGCATTCAAGGCGCATTACCAGTTCGGTCAAACACACGGCGGCTGAGATCAGGCCATGCTTCGCTGGCCAACAACTACTAATCCAGGTCGAGCCATGTCTGTGCATTAATCGTCACGTTTCCATATAGGCTCTCTTGGTGTAAGCGCGTTGCAAGCTTGACAGAACGCAGATTGTGGAGCAAGATAACTACTCCCTCCGTTCCATAATGTAAGACGCTTTCTTACATTATGGGACGGAGGGAGTACTACTCTACATGGGATGTTTTTTTTCTTTTTCCTATGATCACATTTTTGTGACTGGTAGGTCTGGGTGAGAGTCCATTTCACGGAGGCGCGAGTTATGGCGACCATGTAAATTGTAAAAGTCGTGTGCTTTTAGTGGCTAACTCGCATATTAAGTACTGCTATGGGCTAAGAGTCCATGACTGTACCAAGAGTTGAAAACTTTGACATCTTAGGCTACTGTTTGACACTAAAGCTTCAAAGATCGAACATCTTGTTCCGGAGCTTCTCGTTCTCTTCCTTTGTGCTGAGCTGCTTGCAGAGTTGCGCCCTCACAAAAACAGAGACACATGATCGGTGTGGAAAGATAGTCAAGACCCGTTCCGTTCCGTTGCCTTTACCACAGTCCTTTTTAACCTGATAGTCATATTTACACATTTGCAACACCGTATGATACTCCCTCAATTCCACAATATAGTGCTTCCTCTATCCCCGTGCTTCAACTTTGACCGTAAATTTAACTATCAAGACCGATTACGGCGGGAGCAAAATTTATATCAGTGAATTCGTATTCGAAAGAAGTTTCCAATTATATAATTTTTTTCTCCCGCCACAGTTGGTCTCGTTGGTTAAATTTATGGTCAAAGTTGGACCTCGAAAAGCGGGCGCACTATATTTTGGAATGGAGGGAGTAACTTTGAAAAAAGAGGGCCACAAAAAAGATACAGTGACAAGTATTTTTTTAACACGGTACAAATGCAGACACTCATATATACACACATATATACTCATTCATATGAACACATGGACACACATCTTATCCCTATTAGCACCTCGAAGAGACTGAGCCACATCATCTTGAGATTGATGAAGTAGCCACAAACGCCTTCGTAGTCAACGGGAATGTCTCCTCCCACTTAACACACATCGCCTCGCACCAATGTCAAGCCTGAGACTTAAAATCCGGTAGGCAGAGGATAACACTGTCCTCCTAACTATCCAACCACGGGGTTTCATTGACGAAGTAGACCCGTTCAGTTTGCCTTTACGGTCCTTATTAACTTATAGTCATATTTACACATTTACAGCAACACAGGATAACTTCAAAGTGAAAAAGAAGGGTGCAAAAAAGGTACGGTGACAGGGTTTCCTTTTTTTTTTTGAGGGTGGTGACAGGGTTTCCTTGACGTGTAATACTCCTGGGGGCAAAATAATCACCAAATGCAGCCCAATTTTTTTTTGAAAGGAACACATTGTATTCCATTACATTAGAACATTTGGCATGTCGCCAACAACAGCATCGAGTACAAATTCTGGGAAATTACCAAGCCAAGTCTCAGAGCAGTCATTTTCCATGCCTAGACCATGCATAGCTAAAATGTGTGCTGCTCCGTTACACTCTATTACAATGTTCAAAGCTTACAACAATCAAACCTACACGCATCTGAAATTTTACATCTTGGAATAAGGATCCCAACTTTGATAAATCATACTCTGTACTGGTGATTGCCTGCTTCAGCATCATGGAATCCGTTTCGAAAATTACCTGCTGGCATCCCATTTTGATCGCAATATTTGTAGCAAGTTCCAGGGCAAGTGCTTCAGCGTGTAGCGTGTCAGATACATGCTTCAGCTTACCCGCACCAGCAGCCAATAAAACTCCTTGATCATTTCTCAACGTGAAACCCCAGCCTCCTATTTTTGATGCCTCGATGAAAGCCCCATCTATATTAATCTTCAGGTTTCCCTCTGGAGGTGGTTTCCACTTCTGCATTTTCCTGTTGCTCTTCTCTTTTTCTTGAGTCTTATCCTTCATACAGTTGAAAAGATGATATTCAGCAAAAGATGAAACTTCCCCTATGGATCTAATTTGGTCGCCATTATTGGCTTTATTTCTCTCATTCCACCACAACCACATTAAGAAGCAGACTTTGAGACATTCACCCGGTTCTAGTTTAAAAATTTCCTCAAGAACCTTTTTTGAATCAGGACAATCAAGAAGTTTAGTTCTAATGTGTTCTAACATGGATGTTCTCCACAATTCTCTTACTTTTTTGCATTTCAAAAATATATGTCCACCATCTTCATCGAATCTAAAACATACTGGGCATCTAGTATCAATAGGCATACCTTTCCTTTTTGGCTTTGTCCTTAGAGGCAGGTTGTATGTTGCAATTCTCCATAGAAAGTGCCTCACTTTGCTTGGTAGGGGAAGCGCCCATAACTTCTTCCAGTCAAAATCTAAATTCTCTGTTTCTGCATTAGAAGTTGAAGTTAGTCCTGAAGATGATTCTCTTACTACATTATCTACAGCAACCTTGTATGCCGACTTTACCGAGAAGAGACCCTTTTTATCATAATGCCAAGCAAGGAAGTCACCTGTTTGTTCTTGAATAGGTATCTGAAGGATGGTATTTGCATCCTCTAGCCAAAATGTTTGCTTTATTAGGTCAGCATCCCATTGATTTGTTATAGGATTTATCAATTCAGAGACCCTTCCTATTAAGTTTCTTCCTTTTGGCGAACTGATCCTCCTTGTACTTCCTCTTGGGATCCATGGGTCCTCCCATACACGAATGTTTTCTCCATTTCCTACTCACCAAATGATTCCCTTTTTGAGCAACTGTAACCCTTCGAGGATACTTCACCATGAATACGAAATACCCTTCATTGGCTTCGCTTCTAGTATTGAACCATCTGGAAAGTATTTAGCAGCAAGAACTTGTGTGCATAATGAGAAAGGATTTTGCAATATCCGCCATGCTTGCCTGGCCAACATGGCCAAGTTAAAGTAGTGCAGGTTCCTGAATCCTAATCCACCTTCTGCCTTTGGTTTTGATATTACGTCCCAACTCACCCAATGTATCTTATTTGTTTTATCCATCTGACTCCACCAATACCTCCCGATTATTGCACTTAACTCTTCACAAAAGGATTTTGTCAAGTCAAAACAGGCCATTGCGTATACTGGTATAGCTTGTGCTACAACTTTGATCAATACTTCCTTGCCAGCCTTTGATAAGAGCTTTTCTTTCCATCCATGTATTATTTTCCATACTTTCTCTTTTATGTAATTGAAAGCCCTTGCTTTGTTCTTCCCAATATATACCGGCAGGCCTAAGTACTTCCCTCTAAACCCTTCAACATTTATCCCCAGAATTCTCTTCATCTCATTCCTCTTGCTTCCAACAGTGTTTTTGCTGAATAGAATGGCTGACTTCTCTTTATTGATCATTTGCCCAGAACATGCTTCATAAGTGCTTAGGATATTATTCACTTCCCGCGCTGCATTTGCATTTGCCTCCATCAACAGAAGTGAATCATCAGCGAACAGAAGGTGACTCACACTTGGGGCTCGTCTACATATTTGTATCCCCTTTAGTCTTCCATTAGCTTCAGCTTCGTTAAGTAGGGCGAAGAAACCTTCTGCGCATATCAGAAATAGATATGGGGAAAGAGGGTCTCCCTGACGCAGTCCTCTTTGTGGGATAATTACATCCGTGACTCCCCTATTCACCTTAATTTGGTACTTAACAGTGGTGACGCACTTCATAATCAGATTGACCCAGTTTTTGTTGAAGCCCATCTTTGTCATCATGTCATGCAGGAACCTTCATTCGACCCTGTCATATGCTTTGCTCATGTCCAGCTTTATGGCTGCATAGGCTTTTGCACCATTCCTTTTCCTTTGTAAAAAATGTGTTAGTTCATAGGCCAATAAAATATTATCAGTGATAATACGACCTGGTACAAATGCGTTTTGATTGGGTCCTATGATGTCTGGTAAGATATACTTTAATTTATTTGTTATTACCTTGGACACCATCTTGTAGAGAACATTGCAAAGGCTGATCGGCCTATAGTCATTTATTTTTTCCGGCCTTGGTGTTTTTGGTATAAGAACCACAATCGTATTATTCCACTCCTCTGGCATCTCTCCCCCATTAAGTACATTCAACACCTCCCTCGTTATTTGGTCACCCATGATATGCCAAAACTTTTTGAAAAATATAGCAGGCATTCCATCAGGTCCAGGTGCTTTGAGATCCCCAATGACGAGAAGTGCCTTCTTCACTTCTTCCTTTGTGTATTGGGCACACAACATATCATTTATGCCTTCGTGTACTCTTGGAGTAATTGCTTCTAGGATGCATGTATTATTATGCTTAGCCGTGGAGGAGAAAAGGCTATAAAAGTAGCCTGAAATGTGTTCTTTCATAGAGTTTTCGTCCTCCATCCATCTACCATCCTCTCTTTTCAATTTTTGAATTGTGTTCTTCCTTTTCCTCTCGGAAGCAAAGGCATGGAAGAACTTTGTATTCTTGTCTCCAAATTGTAGCCATTTAACATGTGCCCACTGTTTTCAGTGTATGTCTTTTTGATGTTCCATTCTCTCTAGCTTTTCCTTCAACAAATGCTCTCTTGAGACTTTTTCCTGATTTATATCTCCTTTTCTCAATTTCTCTAACTCAGATTTCATTTGCTTGATTCTTTTCTCAAGATCACCGAGAACATTGTGATCCCAATATTTTAAGTCTCTTGCTACTGCATGTAGCTTGCTTGTTGTACTGACATCACCCATTCTACTGGCATTGTTCCATGCTTTGTTTACCACAGCTTCACATTCTTCTTCCTCTAGCCACCTTGCCTCAAATCTGAAGTTGTTCCCGTAGCTCCTTGGTCTCAAGTGGTTATTCCTGCTATCTACCCGAACAGTGACTGGCGATGGTCTGAGTGCCTTGGGTCTCCATTCACCATCGTATATGAGGGAAATCGGTTGCACCAGTTTTGATCACCCACTGCTCTGTCTAACCTCTCGTTTATATACCGACTAGCTATATGGTTGTTGTTTCGCCAGGTGAACTTGTCTCCTATATAGCCAAGATCCCTTAAACCACATTCAGCAAGTGCTAGTCTGAATTTCTCCATCGCTGATTGTGGTCTATTTGGCCCTCCTTTATTTTCATGAGTGTAAAGGATTTCATTAAAGTCACCTACGCAAAGCCACGGTAGGTTGAGATGTTGATTCAGAATACTCAGTAATTTCCAAGTTATGTTCTTCTTTTCAGTAGCAGGTTCACCATAAATTCCGGTAAATCTCCATCTGAAACCATCTCCTTCAGTTATCACCACATCTATATGATATCTGGAGTAGTTATGGAGTTCCACTTGAATATCTTTCTTCCATAAGAGTGCAAGGCCTCCACTTTTTCCTTCACAGTCCCTCGTCACTAGGTTATTCATTCCCAATCGCCATTTCAGATTTTCCATTTTCCTTCCATTCAGTTTGGTTTCTGACAAGAAAAGAATATCAGGGTCCTCCTGCTTCTGCAGATCCAGAAGCCCTCTCACTGCCGGGCCGTTCCCCAACCCCCGGCGGTTCCAAGCCGTGATCCTCATTTGGCCTCGCGGGATTGGTTCGCCAATCCCGCTTTCACATCAAATTTGGGTTCTCCGGCCTTGGTATTTGCTTCCCCAGTTCTCCCTTCATCGATCGTGGCATTTATCTCTACTTCCATTTTCATCTTTTTCTCAGTGACTGGCTCCATGTCAATTTCCATATCATCTGCACCACGCTTCTTTGCTTCTGTGGCCATATTCACTTGAGTTTGTGCTTTATTCGCTCTATCCTGTCTCATAATTTTGACTGTTCTTCCCTTCTTCTTTTCCATTGGTATGTCACCTTCATTGGCATATTTCTGTAATTCCTTCATCTTCATCCCTGTCCCCGTTTCTACTTGATTTGTTATTTCGTTGCTTTCTTGTTGATTGATCTCCGTTTGACCGCATCCTTTTGAAACACGATTTGCTTTTGTGGTAGTGTTATTTTCCTCTTCGGCCTTACTCGATTCTATTGCAAGTGTTTGTTCCTTTCTAGAGGGCTCTTCTACCACTTTTTCGTTGGAATCCAATCTCTTTCTCTCCCCTGCTCCTTGGTCCTCACACTCCTTTAACGCGAAAGGGCTTGTCACTTCTTTTCCTTCACTCCTTCCTGCTCCTTCCTCGTCATCTCCACTTGGTACATTCCTTCGCCACGACGGCCCATCACTACCTTGTCCGCTCCCCTTATTTCCTGCACTATTGCTTGATCAAAATTTCCCTTTATCATTCGAACCCCTACTTCTTTCTTCACTCGAGCTCCCCTTGTAAATATTTGCACGCAACCATGGCCCGAACTGTCTGGACCCTGTTCTTCTAGATCTAGTTGGGCGTGATTTTTTAGTATGTCCAATAATTCCACAGCTGTAGCAGAAGTCAGGAAGATACTCGTATGTGAAGGAGACAATTTTTTCCTCCATTTCTCTCTTCTTTCTCCTTAGTTCTATCTCCTCATCATCTCCCACAGGTATCATTACATTTTCCTGCTCTTGTTCTTCCTCATCGTCAATAAAAGATGTTACAAACCTCATAATTGGCATGGTGATATCTATTCTCACTTTGATCCGCATAAATGCTCCCATAGAATCACCACTAATTTCTGGGTCTACATCAATGACTTTCCCAATTTGTTCTCCTATCAAATCTCTTGTTTCTTTGCTCATCATCCCCATTGGGACGCCATACGCTCTTACCCATATTGGTATTGTCCTGAATTCATATTCATCTATTGTTTTACTAGGCACGAAATCTTCCATCACCAACAGGTCGTTGTTAAATCTCCATGGTCCAGCATCTAGTGCTTTTTCCTTGTCAGCTCTTTGTTGGAAAATAAACAAAAATCGATTTCTGCCCAGGTCTTTGCATTCCACTCCAAATAATGGACTCCAGACTACCCCTAAGGTTCTTCCCACATGTTCTGCCCTAGCAGGTCTCTCTGAAATTAGTTTACCTACTGCCTGTAGCTTGCTCACCTATGAGGAACATGCATGTTTCCTGCCAATCTTGATCCCCTTCTTCTCCGCTTCGGATAGCTGCAGATTCTTGAGCTTGCCCTTCACTCCTCCAAGGTATACTGCCTTCAGGTCCCCCATTGCAGCTGGGAGCAGCTGGGTTCACCACTCCCGAGCAGTCCCCTCTACGCCCCCAAATCTGCCGCCGTCGCCACACACACCAGATCTTGCTCCTGAAATCCTTTCTGTTCCTCACTCACTTATTCCAACTCAGATCTGTTCACTCTCACAATCGCTA